AATTTTAATTTAAAAATTTTATATTTTACATCGAACGGAACGCAAGTAAATGAAAAATGTTTTACTGTTAGATATTAATCAATAAGAGAGATAATTTCTTAAGAAATCGAAAATATGCCGGACCGAATAAAATTGTGTTTATTACTATAAATTTAAAATATATAAAACTGCATGAAAATAAGGGCCGATTGCAATAGTTGATGATTGTTGTTTGAAGAGTGGAAAAAATTTGTAAGGAACATATGTGTATTTACAATCCGTCGATACAAATTCTTCTTTCTGCATTGTAATTTATTTTTCAACTTAATTAATCAAATTATGTGCGTAAACAACAATATAAAATTTTTTATACGTACGTGTCCGACATGTCATAGCATACATGTGCGTATTACTGAAAAAGTTAATCAGCTGATAAAAGATTAAAGATTATTAAAACACGTTTGTACCTGCCGACATGTTAAATAGTAGCTGCTACATTACTCATAGAAATTTAATACTAATAAGCGATAATTTAACCAGTGATAATTACTGTAGTTTAATAATTATATTATTCGTACGAGTAATAAAATTATTATTTATTACTGACCAATTTATTACAGCTAGTGATACTTTTCTATAAGGGATGTCATGTGTACTAAGATTCTGTATTAAAATATTTGGCACTATATGTGTTTAGCAACCTGTCGCACCAGTTAAAGACACGAGAGTATATAGTATTTTTTTATAATACTATAAAGAACTGAAATGCTGAATACATAAAAATTTTCATTAATTGATTATTGAATCACATAACATAGACCCGTATTAATCGCTATTTGAAGCTAATCCCACGTAAGATATTTAGGTCTCAATGTGTTTATAATCAGATTTGAGTTTATATTTGAATCATATAATATACGTGATATTTCGAATCAAGTTTTGGCTAAAAAACCCATTTCCATCTCTGCATGTAACCTGAGTATCTCACGTAAAAGGCAAGTTTCAAGTTACGACTATAAATACGGGTCATAAATACATATTGAATATGTCCAGAAGAAGTATAAGTTTCCTCTCGATTGAAACGCGATCACAAACATGACATTACGAATATTGAAATAAATCTTAAGAATCATCTATTAAATATATTCCTCTGAAGACAAAGTGTACAATTAAACTAAAACATGACAATAAATACGGAAAAAGTTCTATATTGGACAATAAGACGTTTTCTTCTAATCGATGCCTGAATTGCTTTAAGAAATAAAACTGATTTGATTAACAATCAGAGCAATTAGATAACTGAATTATTTCGACATTAATATACATAATTTTCAAACTAAACGGTTCATTTATTGAGCATAGATACATCGGAAGTTTAAGAAATACCAAAAACTTTTTAACACTTTTGTTAACATTTCGATTAACGGAAAAACATTACAAATTTCTCATTTATCGTTATATTACAGGCAAAAAATATCAATACAAGATGTTAATAAGCGGGCTTTTTATCTCCATCCTAATATTAGTATATATTTATTATAAGTACGTAATATTCAATTTCTGGCGAAAAAAGGGAGTGTTTGTACCTGTCGAACCTGTTGTACCGACTGGCAATGTGACAAAACTTTTGACTGGAAAAATGTCAATGGGCAAGTATCATTGAATGACATTAATAGTATCTTCAGTAATTGAAGTATCTTATATCAGAAAATGGAAAAACCAATACAAAAGCCTTCTTTTTCCATTATATTTAACAAAATATTTACTTCTGCATAGTTGTGCCTCTTCGAAATTTGCAATAGTATAATATAAATCGTATTATATTCTGCATTCAAAACTAAACAAAAATTTTGTGAACAGGTGAACTCTTTCAAAATTTCTATATGAAATATAAGGAACATCGTGTTTTTGGAATTTACACATTTTTCAAACCAAATCTGATAGTCGCCGATCTCGATCTAATTCAAACTATGCTCACGAAGGAATTCAAGAGTTTTCATGATCGTTTAATGTATTGCAACGAAAAGGTCGATCCACTATCTGGTCATTTGGCTTTATTGCCCGGAAAAAAATGGCGGAATTTACGCGTCAAATTAGTACCCATTTTCACATCCGGCAAGATAAAACAAATGTTCACGATTATAAGAGAATGTAGTGAAGAGTTGACGAAAAGTTTAGAAATGGAAACTCATACAAACAATGCAATTGATATCAAAGAAATATTTGCAAGGTAATTAAGGAAGATTTATTCAAAGGAAAAACGATCGTTGAGGCAACAGAATAAATGTTTTTATTTGAAAAGTAACTTGTAAAAACAGTACATTATAATTATAAATCGTTTGTTCCTTGTTTTAATCAATACTTGATTAACGGGCTGGCATCAGTAAGCAATTGTAATAAACTCTTGCCGCAATTATTCGTTTATTTACATACTTACGCAAATTATTGTATATTAGAACTTAACCAAAACAATTTATCCAATAACAATAGATATACGACGGATATAATTATGTCAACTACATTGGGAATAAAGTCCAACTGCTTAGTTGAGGCGAATAATGAATATCGATACTGGGGATAGAAATTTTTTGAAATAAATCCTTTTTGGTCCGCTATGACGATATTCGCACCACAAATTTTGGAATTCTTTTCCATTCCTGCTACGGATCGTGGTGTCACCAAGTTCTTCACGAAATTATTCCGTGACAATGTGGAGTACAGGCAAACTCACAACGTCGTAAGGCACGATTTTATGAATTTACTTATACAACTCATGGAGAAAGGCTACGTTGAACTCGACGACGATAATAAGGGCACCGATGATAAATCTTGTAAATATATATCTTATACTTATTTTCACAGCGACAAACGATTTTGTTCACATTTTAAAAAATTTCATGTGCGTGACATATTATATATATAGTAATCACGTATATATGCACTTTTGACCTCTCAAAATATTTATAACATTGCTATGCGAGATCACTAAGCGATTTTGGTACTTTATTCCAACGCAGCTGACACGAATAAACTTACCATGTTGGAAGCGACCGCACAAGCCTTTCTCTTCTTCATAGCTGGCTTCGAAACATCATCGACCACCGCGACGTTCTGCCTGTATGAGTTAGCTGTACATCAGGATATACAAGACAAAGTTCGCCAGGAGATCGATGAGACGTTGAAAAAGCACGGTGGACTGACTTACGATGCTTTGAACGAAATGACGTATCTGCACAAAGTAGTCCAAGGCAAGCATGACATCTTCTTAACATATCGCGAGGAATTTTTTCTCCGCAAGGAAATTACAAACTTTACGATATTATAATCAGTTACGTATAATGAAATATATCTACATACATCTTTGCGTAGAAACCTTACGGAAATATCCACCTGCAACTGTTTTGGGTCGTGTCTGTACCAAAGAGATAGTCCTCCCAACGACAAACGTTCGCATCCCGATAGGGACATCAATCTCTATACCAGTACTCGGAGTGCATCGAGATCCGTCAACATACCCGGATCCGGACAAATTCGATCCTGAACGTTTCAACGCGGACCAAGTGGCAGCGAGGCATCCTTACGCTTTCTTGGCATTTGGTGAAGGACCACGTATCTGCATTGGTGAGAGTAAATCAATTTTTTCGTTTTAATTTTTCAATTATTCTTTAAAAGAAGAATAATCGACACACACATACAACTTAATTTCCCCATTTTTCGGAAATATACAGTTTTGAATTTAGAATTTTCAATACACAATTTCATTATGATGTTAGTTTGAAGCGCGTAAAGACATATTTTAAAAAATAATTAATTAATAATTCAAATAAATTAGTAAAAGATATCTTAAGATGTCTTAACATCTATAACAGAAATAGAATGTCTTTTTGACATCTTTAAGATATCTTTTAGTAGATTTTACTTGGAAAGTTATTATTGTCGCATCTCGATGAAAAATGTTTCATACATAATTATGTAAAATTATATAAAATTATATATAATTTTATATTATTATATATAATTATTTATGAAACTTGTTCATGCATGTTAATACATGTTACTTGTATATAATCATGTATAATTATATATATATAAAATTTCATACATAATTTTATATATAATTATATATAATTATAATTTTATATAATTATAATTATAATTATAATTTTATATATAAATATAATTATAATTTTATATATATTTATAATTATAATTTTATATTTAATTATATATAATTTTATATAATTGTATATAATTATGTATGGACAAATTTTATATATAATTAGACATGAAAAATTTTTAACGGGAATATATATTTAGTTTGTTCCTTTTTTACTAAAGACTTGGTAAATATATTTAAAAAAATCGAACTTTTTAATTTTCAGGTGCAAGGTTTGGTTATGTGCAAGCAAAGATTGGAATTATAAGCATCGTATCGAAGTTCAAGTTTAAATTGCATCCACAAACTGCGGTACCACTCGAATTTGATAATAAGACGTTTGTACTCACTGCCAAAGATGGTGTGCATCTTATTATTGAATCGCTGTAAGCTAATCGCGCTGATATTTTTAAGTTCTAAAATAGATTCTGACGAGGTCTGGGAGCAAAATGTTACATACAGAAAGATGAGACGCTGACACCCTAGTAAATATTATTAAAATTTATTTTTTATTTATAATAAAAGTATGGCCATATTTCAAAACGCACGGAAAAAAGATTTGGTTGAATTAATCAAATATCTTGTCAATTATGAACGATCCAGAAATTTCGATTAAAATAACCCGAATTCTGTTTAAGTTAACAAGATGTTTGGTTTTTGTTATCTTAACAGAGTTAAACAGAATTAGGGTTAATACTTTAATCGGAATTTCTGTATCGTTCATATTCGATCAGATATTTGGTTAACTTTACCAAACCTTTTTTTAAGTGTGTAAATAAAAAATATCGTTGATATAAAAAATCAAGGGCAGCACGATAATGTCACAAAATCGACCGCATAAAAAAGATTGGCCAATTGATGACACGTCGAATACGACAAGAATGTACTCCGCCCGGAGTAATAGTTTTAACATTTTCGATTGTAACTCATGGAAAAAATGTTACCCGAAAACGTATATAATAACTAAATATCCTAAAAATATGCCGGGACGTTCTAAACATACAAGAAATGACCTTGAGAGTTTGTCTTGTCTGTGTTTCAAACACATAGCATGTAGAAATTTAGAAAATATTTGTTTTACTTAAATTTTCACATGTACGATACGAATTCTTCTTTCTGCATTGTAATTCATTTTTTAACTTAATGTCATTAATCAAATTATGTGCGTGAACAGCAATATAAGATGTGATTTTTTATACCCATATTATTAAATAGTTTATCTAGCTCCTATTTTGCAAAGAGGATTATCAATGATAAAAACGATAATGACTCAGAACTACGTCATTTGTTTGCGTGATAACAAAGTATATAACCTGCTGACTTATATAACACTTCTCATTTCTTGCGTGTTGAAGATAAAGTTCAATTGCAATATAAACGAGTTCTTCCTTCATTTCATTAGTATCGTTAGTTCATATGAACACGCAATATGTGATAATCAGTGATTTCATACAGTTTTATAATTGTGAAAAATATAATCTGAACTGTATTTAGTGACTAATAAAATAATTGGTTTTCTTGTGCAATAAAGGTAATATTAGCAACGAATTTACAATGAACAATTCCCCGCTTCTTTTAATTGAACCGTGTATATTGAAAGTGATGTAAGTGCACTTATCTTCTTGTACAAGATATCAAAACAAAAGGAGATTTAAATAGATTGC